CACACTTTTAAAATGAAATTACATTTAACAATATTTTTTCACATGCTTTAATTACCATTTTGATGTATAGTCAATGTAAAATATTATTCAAGAGATATTTTATTGTCTTTTTATAATAAATATTTCAAATTTGATGTCTATTTCATTTTTGACCAGCTACATTCGAAATGCTCAATAGCCTGGGAGTCAGTATTGGATAGTATTGCTCTAACCAGATGAATCTCACATGTATATACCCATACACAGAATGTTTCTGATATAATGTGAGTGTCCAAGTTGTTCTGAAGCACAGCTATTGCATACTAGGGAATTTGTAGACTCTACTTAAGAATTTTTAACAGGACAGAAAGAAAATACCCACTAGAAATCAGATAATTATCCTATCAGAGGAACTAATTCATTCCTTCACGCATTTTTTCATTCAACAAATATGTGAATTCCTTGCCAAATCCTTCACATCGGAGGAGACTTAATGCTAATACAACAAATGAGAATTCGGTCATTTCTGACTCTCCTGTTCCAGGAACTCAGAAAATAATTCAGTATTCTCAGATGAGAAGCTGGGCTTTCCAAAGAAACCTGGGGGTTTATCCCAATCCTAAACATAGTTCTTAGCCTCTTTGTAAAACGATGTGCCTTTAAGTCTATAACTGCTACATTTTTCATACCATGCTTTTTGGAAGGGAAAGAATCCTGAAGTTTTATAAGTAGCAGTCATCAACCGTATAATTAAATGGTTCTCTCCAGTGGGTTTGACCATACTTGGCATCACCAAAACATAAAAGTGATTCATATTTCATCACCGCCTAGAGACAAGATTATCATCTCTGGCTAATTAAGAGTATTGGCAAGTTACTCCCCAAAGAGAATCTATCAACCCTAACATAACTGACAAATGTAACCGTTTAGGTGCTCCATCCAGAAAGTAGCCAAAGGTGTGCAACAATATGAGAAGCGTTTGTGCTGGGGAAACTGCTGAGCTCTGGGTAAGAAGTTGGGAGACCGTGCTGCTCTGCCTGGGGCCTCCCCATCCCCAGCACAGCTCAGTCGGCAGGCGGCTCTGCCAGGCTGGGCTGTCTGTGAGGGTGGGCAGTACCACCAGAGGATGTTGAGTGACGCCAGCATCCAGTGGCGGCGGCAGCAGTGGAAGTTACAGTGCAGGCAGCGGGCGAGCTGAGAGGCCAACGGCTCAACGCAGTTTTTGTAGGAACAGACCCTTGGCTAAGCTCTGCATATACGCAGTACTCATCAGAGAGATCCCTGCCAGCAGCACCTTCATGCTGCAGCTGCCTGAAGGCAAAGAAAAAGGGCCGCAAAGAAAGCATCAGCAGGGGAATACATGAAACAGGCTTACGTGTGGGTAGGTCTTTATGCACACACACATGACCCACACATACGCACAGCATCATAATTACAATGTTCGTACACCTAACAAAAGACGCTCCAAACCTACGGACCAAAACTTGAGAGAATTTAAAGGAAAAATAAACAATCAACCATAAGGACCAGATAGTATAATGTCCCATTCTAACTGACAGAACGCATGGGAATTCATCAAGTATACAGAAGACTCAAAAATGCTATCTATGGAAAAAAGCTGACTGACATATAGAAAGGTCCAGTCAGCGACTGCAGGGTACACTTCCTGAGCACATACAGAACACTCGCCAGGAGCTTCCAGTGTCAGCCATGAACCAGCCTTCAACACACTTAAAAGGAATGAAATCATAAATGCTTTCTGACCATAATACAATTACATAAAAATCCCAAACATTTGGAAGTTAAACAACCTGCTTTTAAATAACAAGGGTCAGAAAAATTCACAGAACAATCTTTAAATATTCTGAAGCAAATAAAAACAAAACTCCAACTTGCCAAACCTGTGGGGTGTAGTGTTAAAACAGTGCTTAGAGAGGACAATATAGATTTAAAAGCCTATGTCATAAAAGAAGAAAAGCCTGAACTCTATAAACTCAGCTTCCATCACAAGACACTGCAATAAAAAGAGGAAATTAAAGCTAAAGCAAACAAAAGAAAAAAAATGATAAAGATTATAGCAGACAGCAATGAAATAAAAAACAAATAATATTTTTAAAATCTGTGAAACCTTGAGTTAGTTCTGCAGGAAAATAAAAACCAAAAAAACTGGTAAATTTTTAGATAGATTATAGGAAGGTGAATTGTCTCCCCTAAAAGCTATGTCCGTATCCTCATACCTGGAGTTTATGAATATCAGCTGCTGTGGCAAAGAAGTGGATTTACTTTATGAAGCCAAAGATGTGATGAAGTTACTGAGCTGGAAAGGGAATTTACCCTGGGTTCTAAAGTGAACCTAAATACAACCACATGTATCCTCACGACAGAGAAGCAGAGCCGGCGTTGAGGTGGGGGAAACAAGGCCATGCGACCACAGCAGAGAGACTAGAGAAACAGTTGTAGAGTAAGTGAATTTTAGTCCCTATCTCATAACACACACACACACACACACACACACACACACACACAGGGAAAGGAAAACAATGAAAATTCTAGATGATAACGTGAGGCCATGTCATTACAACCTTCCTTATGCAGAATCCAAAAGGACAAACATGAAGGGAAAAAAAAAATCAAAAATTGGAAATTATTATCTTTATCAAAAGATAATTTTTTATCAAAGGACTTCTATCCTGAATATATGAAGAACCACAATATCAATAAGAAAAAAATCAGCAATGAATTTTAACTAATGGGTAGTAGACTTAAAAGAGAGGATATCAAATAATAAATAAATGTATTAAGTACTATCCAGCATCATTAGTAATTTAAAAATCTAAAGCCATATTAGAATGTGATTATACAGCACCAGACTGGCTATTTTTACCTCAAACCAGACTACAGCAAGTGCTGGTGAGGGTACAAAATAATGGAAACCCTCCAGTCCCGCTGGTGAGGACGCAAAGTGGTGCAACCACTTTAGGAAACAGTATGTCATTGTCCACTAAACCTGAAGATGCATATAACCTTTGACCCAGCATTCCCACTTCCAGGTACACAGGTACCAGGAACACATATTCATGAGTACCAGACACACGTGCAGGATGTTCTTAGCACATTCGAACGATGTTCACATCATTAGTAATAGCCAGCAATTGCAAATAGCACAAACACCCCTCAATAGCAAATAGGGTAGATAAACTATGGCATGTTAGTCTAAAGGAACGTTCCTTGAACTTCTTCCACTTGTGAACTATGGTTTTTCACAGGTGCAAATATAAAAAGTAATGAAAGATGGCAAACATAAAAGGACGAGGGCTGTGATTCCATTGATGTAGGTCTTACAGAAAGAGAGAAGAGGTTACAATTTGAGAAGGGTTCATGACTGGAAGAAAGCAAAAGAAGGATGGTAATGTTCCATCTTTTATCTCTAGGATGCTTACATGAATATTTTACTTTATGAAAATTCAAAGTGTTGCATATAAATATAACACATATGCACATATGCAAACGTACATACGTAACATCTCCTTACAGAGCTGAGGAGACCGCGAACTGTGAGCTTTCTCTTCTCTCCATGGTCCAGCCGCTCCTCCTCTACTCCACGTCAAGACGACCACCCTCCTCACTCCCTCCGCGCCCCAGCCCACTCTGCCTCGTCCTCACCTTGCCCCTCCCCTTCTCTTTCCTTTCAAAAGCTTCCACCTCACCGAAGTCGCTCTAACCTTGCTGACACTGCCCCTTTCCGGCATGTGGCATCACAGCTACACTTCATTATGTCCCAGAGAACATCAGAATAATGTTTAAAATAGGGCCAGTCGTGGGCCCAGGTTTTCTCCAGGAAAACTAGCAGGCTCCTAAGAAACCTTGCAGGGTGACATCTATTACTTTAAGATGGAGTTCCTGGCCCAAGAGTTGTCCTCTAGACTTGCAGCTCAGACACCCAGCATGCCATTACACCACGAGATGGTTGTTTCCTAGCAAGGACTTGTGTGAACCAGGCTGGGAAGAGCCACTTGCTCGGAGTCAGAACAAGAGCAGGTTAGGGCAGAGGTGAGTCTGCCTGGATTCAGAGGCCAACTCCAGCACTTACTGATTGTGCAACCCTGACCAAGTACAGAGCCTTCGAGGCCATGTTTCCTCCTTTGTAAAATGGCCCCGGTAACAGGTAACAGTATTTCACACTGCTGTGACGATGAAGTGGGCTGACACACACAAAGTGCTTGGAATAAAACCTGTTCCTGGGAAGTACTCGGTGAACATTAGCTATCATTTTAAATTAATCAGAAAGGTAATTTACTAATTCATAACAACAAATACAACTGTCCTGAGAAAGTTATACCAGTAAACTCTAGCTAGTCTTGTTCCTGTCTGATAAGCAGGAACAAAGATCAAACTGACTTTTTTCCAGGACTGTAGTAATGGGAAGCAGTTAAGCATGATGGTTAAGAACTTGGCCACTTAATCCCGGCTCAGCACTACTCACTGGGTGACCTTGGACAACTGGGTTAGCTTCTCTAAAGCTTAGTTTCCTCATCTTCTGATCACAGGCACGGTGTTAAGGTTCATGGAAAGAGTCCGCACGGGGTTTCTCAGTGCCTAGAATACAAAATGCTCAACACACGATCGCTCTTCTGGCTAACGTTTGTCCACAGCCCAGTGTTCATCTCACAACCTTCAGCAGACTCGTAAGGAGCATCCACAGAGCCTGGATTACCACATAAAAGCCATGCTGGGCAGTAGACAAAGGCAGGTACAGATTGGGAAGACCTAACTTTGAGAGACCCTGCAGGGGGTGTTACCTTGGGCTGCATATTTAACATTAGTCAGACCCATAGGGAAACATCGGTTTCTCCCATATTGAGGGATCAACAGACAATATGGGGGTGATTTGGCAAAATTTAGAGCACTATCCAATGCTAAATACCATAAAAATGATAATAAACAATTTCTACCTTAATTTAAGAAGTAACACATAGTGAAAGAACTCCAAAATAGTATTCATTCAGATTCTGTACCTGCAATTTAAGGGCACTAGTGACCTTCCTTGGGCACTGACCTCAGCAGCAGGTTCCGCAGGAATGGTGGTAGAAGCAGTCACGGTGCGGGTGGGGTACAGCAACACCTCACTTCTGGAAGGAGAGAATTAAGGTGAGCAACGAGGCACAAAGGCAACCAAGAAGCTGCCCCACAGACATCACACTGTCCTCTCCCCATCCAAGACAACTGTCAGACCCCAAGGAAGGACTGAGTTCTGAAATCCAAGCACAGCAAGAATCTCAGGGTTATTTCTCATGTCCCTGTAGTTGGACTCATTAGAAACTACGACTTGGTATTCTCCCTGCCTGGAAAGTACTGTATCCACCAGTCACCTGCAAGATCTGAACGCTGAACTTTGAGGCCAAAACACACTCGCAAAGGGCACTGATAGAAATATTTGCCCTGGAGGCACTGAAATCCATAACTCATGGTACGTCCCCATCCTGAGCAGGGAGAGCTGAGAAGGTCTCTCAGGCCAACAGCTGTGCAGCGTGGAGACAGAAGAACACTGGAGCTGGCTCTCTCATTCCACTGCTCGTCTTCTGGTAGGCTGGAGACTGGGATGCAAAATCCTCCAAGAGGACTGTATATTAGTGAGGATCCCCAGTCATCTGCACTTAAAAAGTGTCAGATTTTTTGTGGGCATAAGTTACTTTTTCAAGGAGAAGAAGACACACACTAAATCAAAATGCCGTCAACACCAGTGTAGTAGTCAGTTTTTCCATTGCCTGACACAATGCTCAACACCTACAACTGAAAAGAGAGGTTTCACGTGGGCCACAGTTTCACTCTGTGATCAGCTGACTCCAAGGTAGAAACGCCACAGCAGAAGGGCAGAGCAGAGCACAGATCCTCAGTTCACGGGGTCCAGGAAGCAGAGCAGCAGACAAATGCCCGAGAGGAAGAGGTGAGAGGCCAGACATAGATGCCAAGGCCCTGCCGCCACGACCAACCCAGAGGTCCCCACCAGGGAGCTCCACCAGCCCCACAGGTGGATCCCAAAGCTAATGAAGCCGATACCCTACCCTGACCTCCACAACCAGGCACTTTACAATTTTATCTGGGTCGGGCCTCATACTACATACTACATACCACAAGCACGGTTTCAATAGATCCGATTGCGGAACATTATGAAATGTTCTCCAAAGAGAAGAACCTGGCATCTTGTCTCTATGAAGAAGACCACTGCAATTTTGACTGTGACCATCTGAAGAGAATGACCAATACTTTGACTCATTCAAAATTCATAACCGTTAGGAAAAAATACCTGAAGAGGAGGTTTAACGTATTATCAAAGTAAGATAGTTATAATCCCTCAGAACACAGAGCAGATAGAAATATCTGTTTATTTCCTTAGTTGAAGCAGATAAACTATTTTCTACAGCTAGAAATGTACAAGTGACTATGAAATACAGCATGTTTTGAGATGCACAAAGTAGTTCTTTGAAAAAGGAAAACAAAATAGCAGCTCTTTCAAGACTTGGAGGGTTGGATCAGAAAAATAGAAAGTACTTTTGTCTGGGTGGTCATATTGAACGGTAGTTATCAAAGTGATGAGGGGGTGTCTTAGTTACTTTTCTCATTGCTGAGACAAAATTTGCAACACCCAAAGTTAAAAGAGGAGAGGTTTATTTAGCTCACAGTTTGTGGAGATTCCAGTTCACAATCAGCTGGCTCCAAGGCAGAGTGGCACATGGCAGAGGGGCAACAGCTCATGGCAGCAGAAGACAGCAAAAGCAATGAGAGAGAGAGAGATGGAGAGAGAGAGAGAGAGAGAGAGAGAGAGAGAGAGAGAGAGAGAGAGAGAGAGAGAGAGAGAGGAGGAGGAGACAGAGAGAGAAGCCTCTTTCTGTACCTTTATTATATTCAGTCTACCAGGATCAGGGCAGTGCCAATCCAAACAGTGAACTGATCCAGCAATCACCCACTCTTTTTTTAACATATAATAAATTCTCTTTTTTATTTTATTTTAAAAGGAAGGAAAAAACACAAAGGCAAAAATAAAAGGACAAAAAATAAAAACAATACAGAATTTCAAAACAAGGAATCACCCAGTCTTGATCCCAGCACCCTTAATCCCAGGTTTGCACTACAAATCAATCACTCACTCTAGATTCAGCCACCTCCAAAGAACACTATGTCTGTATGAGGCTTTGGGGGGACATCTAGACACAAACTATAACAGGGTGGTGGGGAGAGGTTGGCCAATGAGTATTAAGTTACACCTACATAGGAGCTATAAATTCTAGTGTGTTCTTGTACACTAGGGTCCCTACAGATAATAATGTACCATCAACTTCAAAAAAGTTAAAGAAAGGGTTCTGAATGTTTTCACCATAAAAAGTAATAGATTTTTGAGAAGATAATATTTACTTGAGTTAAACATTTCATATTATATACTTTTATTGAAACATTACATGGCATCTCACAAATATATATAATCTGTATGATTTTAATATTTAAATTTTTATTAAATTTTTTAAAATTGCAATGTAATTCTTCATAGAGGTAAAGTGGAAGGTTCTCTGCTAAGTGACGTGGTTCCCCGGTTAGATTTTGGAATGAGGCTTGACTTGAATGTAGCAGCAAACTTTCCTGAGCACTGGCCAGCCCAGGCCTGGATGAAATCATGGTGACGGACCAGCCCACAGCATTAGAAAACACCCTTGAAAAATTCCAAAGATAAATCTTAAGATCTTCCCCCATTACAGGGGAAGCGAAGGCCTGACAGCTACTGTGTGGGGGGAGTCACTTCCTGAGAAAACAAATTTGACATCACGCTGTTAGCAGCCTCAAGAGGAACAAAACCCTCCTGAGTGTGTGGCCACCTCAGTAAAGGGAGCTCGGTGACTAAAAACAGAAACCAGAAAAGTATGCGGAGGAAGTGGAACAAACAAGGTGTTTTATGGGCTACTTCCGTTTCCAGCAGAAGCACAGCAAGTCTGCCTTTTCACTGCAGAAGATCAAACTTTCAGAACCTCCAGGAAGACTACGATAGTGAGAAGAGGTCAAGTTGAATCCCATCTTAGGACAGCTGGTCAAATATCTATCCATGGGTGGTCATTAAAATAAAATTAAGCTTCTCAGCTTGCAAAATTATATTTGAGATTGTAATTTGATCCAGTGAATCGTATTCAAAGTCTGACCAATGACAAGCATTACAGGAGGTAAGGACTCAAAGAACCATGTATCCCCATCCTCAGGATGGGACTGCCGAGGTGTTTGTGTGGCCCTAAAAGATTTGCACCGCGTTGCTCATATAGCTCCATTCCTCGTAGCGTGACTTTGAGCAACAGGAGAATGAATTAACAGACTGTAATAGAATGAGATCACTCACGGTCATGCAGAAAACAAACTAGTGATGTTTGCAACAGCGTGGATGAATTTTGAGAGCATCACATTAAGCGTAAATCAGCCTCACAACAGTGTAAACTGAATTATCTCATCCTTTTAAAGCTCAAATACAGGCAATTAATCTACAGCAACAAAAATCAGAAGAGTTCTAACTTTTGGCTCTAAAGGGGTTTGACTGTACAGATGTATTAGGAAACTTCCTAGGGTGATAAACATATAACTAGGCATGTATGTAAAAATTCATCAAGACCTATACTTCATTTTAGTGTATTTTCCTGTGCATCAATTATCTTTCTTGAATTTATCTTTAAAAGGAAGTACTACTTAATAAAATAGGAGCTATCTATTTTTTAAATATTTGGTAAATCCTTTCCATTTCACTAAATATTTTGCTTCTAAATAATGTTTAAGAAAAACATACATTCATTCCCCCACCTTCCTGCTGAGAAAGCTGAATGCTTAGTTAAGCTTCACCACCTTGATAAAATATGCTATGCATTTTGAAATCAGTCGAATTTACTAAATTGTATTATTTGCACTGCTTTCATAGTGTTAACATTCTTTTTTTTTTCTGGTACCAGGAATCAAACTCACAACCTCGTGCTTGCCAGGCAAGCGCTGGGCCGCTGAGCTAAATCCCCAGCCCCCACGGTGTTAACATTCTAACAGATATTTCATTATTTCTCACTAGGCCCTGTAATAGAAAAAAGTGTCCGTGTCTAACTAAATGCAGGCCAGTTCCACTCGGGAAAATCAGAACCTTTCTTAACTCTGTTGTGAATTATTATGCAGAGGTTGTGTTTTCAATTACATTTAAGTTTTAGGAGTTATTTATGCAAAATATTTGAATATGATTTTCTTGTGGTTATCTCTTTAGTCTGCTTGAATTTCCACTAAAGCATTTGAAGGTTTTTCACTGTTCAAAAATTTAAATGAGCTGAGCATGGTGGTCCACGCCTACCATCCCACCTACCTGGGAGGCTGAGGCAGAAGGATGGCAAGTTCAGGGCCCAGTCTGGGCGATTTAGTGAGATTCTGTCTCAAAATAAAATTTTAAAAAGTCTGGAATAGTAGCTCAGCGGTAGAGTGCATGGCCAGGATGCAAGAGGCCCTGAGTTCAATCCTCAGCTCCACCCACAGAAAAGACAAGTTCAAGCGGGTGGTGCCACCGTCCTGTAACTGGTAGGACGCTGCTGGTGTGTCACGGGCTTCACCCCGCCTCTCACGCCCCACAGACTGCTCCTCTGTGCGTTTCAGGTTGTGCCAGTCCCTGTGCTCTCACGTGTCCGCTCACACCCTTGCCACACCACAGCACAGAGAATGCTCGGGGCACCTGCCACTCAGAATCCGCCCATGTGTTTCGCAGTGAGCTGCCTCCCGGACCGAACCTCGCCAACCCCTCCCTGTTTCTGCACTGTCCGTCCCCACGATACTGTTTGATGATAATCTTGGAGCTTTAGGGAAAAATGAAGTGCCAGTTCTGCTCCTACGTCTTGTTACTTAAGGAGCAGGTCAGCTAAAAAACATGCATTTCCCACTTATAGAGGGTCACACCTGTACATGGTGCAATTTAGTTTATGTGTGGTCTTTATTCCTACCTGCTGTTCCAAGTAAAACTCCTGAGCAGACTAATGAATGCTTTATTAAATAAACAGGAAAGAAAATCACCGAGCAAACCTTCCAAGCTCAACAGCATCTCTAACCCATGACTCTGAGTGAGAAGTATTAATAAGAAAGC